TGCTTTTTGCTGGCTATAGACATAGTTGATCAAATTGTGGCACGCTGAAGTTCTTTGCGTGATTTTAATAGCAAGCAAGAGTAAGGGGTGTCTCATAATTTATAGTTGAGACATTAATTCTACATAATTCTTTGATTTTCTTTTTTCCTTTTTCTCCCGCGGTTGCTTGTGAATTGAGTCAACTTGTTTGCTTTGCGAAGTACTTTGGTTACTCTCTAGATTTTTGCCATGTTTCATGTGATCGAGTAGAGAATATTTACTTTATGAATTTGCACTCGATGTTGATTGCTCTATGACATGAAACTCATAATTTACTGTGTCTTGACACGTTCATGATTTTGTATAGTTAAACTCAAATTTATTTAAGTGTACATTTAAGAAATACGCACGTTCTCACTCTATAATCTATATGCTACTTGGAGCCTTTTTTTTTTTTTAACAGCTATGAAGAAAATTGATATTATAATTAATGATTAATGTAATCCTCCATCTATTTATCCATAATAATAATAATCACTCCATCTCCATCCGTTTTTGGCTGGGTCGTATTGTATTTCATCTAATTTTTGTGTTAGCATAGGTAAAAAATCATCTCATGTCCATGTATTTATCCATAATAATAATAATATTTTAATTTCTTTTCATTTACATATGTTAGTTTGATCTAACGATGTTAATCGATCAAATCTTGACCGATTAACATCCGGACGCATAACTTTTGATGCCTAATATTATGAATCAATAATTGAAAATAAAAAATCAAAAAATAAGTTAAAATTATTTTTAAGAAAATAAAAAAATAAAATCATCCCACCTTTTGAAAAAATTGAAAAGTTAAAGCGTCCACATTTTAACCTAATCTAATTGAACATAACTACTACTGTTCTTAAATACAAAATGGTGAATTTATTTTATTGTTTTTCTTTTAGATGATGATAGTTATGTTAAATTAGGTTAGATTAGAATGTGTATGTTTTAAACTTTTAAATAATTTTTTAACAAAAGACGTCATAATTTTCATTTTTTTATCATTATTTTTTAAAATAATCCTAATTTATTTTTTAATTTTTATTCATATTTTAAGTGTGAAAGACTATGTATTTAAATTTGATTGATCAAAGTTTGGTCAACTGATATTATTAGATCAATCTAATAGACTTCTTTTAACATAAGCGGAGGGAAGAGTTAAAATATCACATCAGTTTTAATATTAAAAAAAAAATTGAATGAACCTAAATGGAATAGATAGATCAACACAATTAAAATTTAAATATTAATATTTGCAAAGCTCATCTTAAATCTATCAAACAATTACTCTGAAGATGCCATTGACAAAAAAAAGAAAAAAAAACCAGTGAATTTTAGTCTTGATTTCATAAAAGAAGTGTACTTATGAAAAATTCTATGATTTATGATCATAATTTTAGAAGTTGGAATTAAATGGCTGGAGTACCGTATGTACGTCAAGAATTCCTTGGCCACCTAGTTACCAGCTGGCTTTAACCAAAGAGTCAACAATGACCAGATTGGTCCTTCAACAAATATCATAATTATAGTGATTATATATAATACTTTTCTTTTTCTTTTTTCTTTTTTGGTGAAAATAGTGATTATTTATTAGCAGTGTCCAAACAATATAAAAATATATGTTTAGGAAAACAAAGGAAGGAAGAGCATAGCATAAGAATGGAACCTAAGACAGAATGGCATCATAGATCAGTGCCCTTCAACAACCGAATATGCCAGGAAACATAAAAAAGTGACAAAAGAACAACCAAAACCCATAACCATCATTATCACTGATTAATTAATTAAACTAAAAGTAAGAAAAGAGAGATACCTTGAGTAAATGGAGTGATTAGTTACATTTTAAATCAAGAATACTCACCCTTATCTAATCTCAGATTCGGACATAAAGCAACAACATAAGACAGTTGCTTCTACTTCTCTCTTTTTTTTTTTCCTCTTCGTATTGTATATTTTAAGCAATCTTTTGGATTAGTCCACCCAACATTATTATCATATGTATTTTTTCCTTTGGGTAAATGCATCCGTTCATATCTTTATAAGTTGTTTAGATGCATAAAAACAAATCCTAAAAACAGGCTAACAGTTAACACAAATTGCACCATATCTTAAGCGTTTTGTCTTTTTGAGTAAATTATAAATTAGTCCCTCTAGGTTTAAGAAGAAAATTAATCAGTCCTCCTTGTTTTAAAAACTATAATGTAATCCTTTGACTGATGTTGACCATGCTTGATTTAATATTATTTTTATTTTATAAAATTTTTTCTCTTTTCATCAATCTTTCTATATTTTTTTCTTTTTCTACTTCTCAAGAAAATAAAATAAATTGAGAAAAAGAAAAAAAAATTAAGTTATAAGTAGATTTAAAAACATAGAGGATTAAATAGTTAATTTTTAAAACAAAACAGACTAATTAAATATTATTTGAAATGAGAAGGACTAATTTATAATTTACACTTTAATTTTTTATTGGGGGTTGCTAACATGACCAAGCAACAAGGCTTAAGTGGAGCACTTCAACAACCGCACCTCATAAAATCCATTTCTTTTTTAAGGGTTTCAGCTTCAAAAGGCTTCTGCAAAATCTCATATTTTCATAAATTAAAAATATAGTGATTTTTTTGTAATATGCTTGACTTAGCTACTTAGGTCAGGCGTGTTGGTAGGTAAATGAATTGGTTTCAACTGAGAAAAGGGGGATCCACAAGAACTGCTCTAATGGTTCATAAAGTTCTTCTAGCCAGATGGGTTGGTCCTCACATTTCATTAATGTGGGATGAGACAACCTTACATGGGGACACAGGAAGGTTCAGTATTTGGTCCCAAGAAATTCTTGTTTTAGTATTTTTTCCTGTTTGACGGTAAAAAATATTTTCATTTTACCTTATATGTGAATAAATATTAAATTATATTTTCAAATAATCTTTAAAATATGTTTTTATATTAACATTGTGTATTTTTTAAAAAAAATAACACATTCTAACAAATATCGTTTTTAAAATTTGAATCTAAAAAAAATAAAGAAATGACTTAAATTTACATGTACAGTATGTTGGATACAGAGATTACTTGGGTATGTATTCTTCTATTACCTACCTCACAAATTGATAAGGTTGCAACTTGCAAGAGTTACAGAACACACAGAAGCAAATGACAAAAGGTAGCACAACATCAACTACAAAGACCCGCGCTTTCGGGTCCGTTTCATCCAAGCAAAAGCCAACTACACCCGATATCCTTTCAACTACGCATGAGAGTACCTGCATTGCTCCTTATTCTACAATATATACACACACATATATACATATATATTTGATATTTGATGTAAATATATCAATTTGCCAAATGATAATGACGAAACCAATCCTTGAAAGTGGACTAAATGAGAGCCTTATTTGCTATGAGATCTTTGTGAACATTTTGATTAATAGGTTAGAATCTCTAACAAAATCAATCCATTAAACTATGAAATGATCCCATTATAGACTCAACAAACTATAAAAAGTAGTCTTTTAAGTAATAAAATAAATAAATATAAATATCGGTTTTTATATAATACTCAAGATCTCTCATTTGTTTTTAAATTTCTAATTACATTTCATTTGTTTTAGAAAACATTCGAAATTTTTATCGTTATATCGATTAAATGACTATAAAATTTTGTTAATCAAAATGTGATTTATTAAAATGTAAAAAAAACACACTTAAAGTCATATAACTTATATGTTTTATTTTTTAAGTTTTAAAAATTTATTTTATTTGCATTTCAAACAAGAACATTTCAGTTAAAAAAATTATTTGATCGAAAAAATTGATCGAAGAGATAGATTGAATATTTTAAACACTTTCAAAAGGCAAATGAGATGCAATTAAAAATCTAAAAATATATTTACCTAATATTATATAAAGACATATATTTACCTAATGAAAAATTAGCACAATCATAAAACATTTTATATTTTTTGTTAAAAAATTTGGATTCGAACTGGGGTCGCAACTCCTTGTTGACAACTTTATACCCAGTAACTATTTACAAAAAAAAATTCTAAACGCCGGCTCTTACGTAAATGTATTGGGGATTTTTTTTTTTTTTAAAAAAGATATGTGTAGATATTGTGAACTTAATATACTCATAAAACATTTCGTTCATCTTGTTAAAAAGCTGGGATTCCAGCTGTGGTCATAGCTTTTTGTTAATATCCCATAACTATTCACAAAGAATCTCTGAACTCCGGCTCTTAAATAATGCAACGACGGTTGTTTTAGATATGTGTACATGCTGTGAGCTTAATATATTCCGTATAGTCTAGGGTAAACTACTGCCTTCCTTTTTTTTATTTTACTGAGAAAAAGAGAGGGTCCTTTGAGATTTCGTCGGGAAAACCAAAGCACCGGAGGCTAATAAACATAAGATCCACGGACATGTATACACGTACACATAAATTTCTCTCTGCAGTACGTACGTTACTTTTCCTTCATTTTGTTTACTTTTACATACTCACAATGACAGAGACGGTGCTGTCTTAATTTCTCTCTCTTTCTTAGCTGCGTGTGATGTGAGTGTGGGGTTTTATACATCTTTCTCTTCTTCTTTGCGGGTTTTCCTTCTTTTTTTCCTTTTTCTTTTTTTTTTTTATATTTGTCGGTAGGAAGGATCATAAGCATTGCACATTGTGTTTTTGTCCTTCATTCTCCTCTTGTGTTCAGTACCTTCTTTTCTTTCTTGTTTCGAATTCCATTTTTGTTCAGGAAAATCCGATCAAGATGTCATTTCATGGTTTAATGATCCATGCATGTCAAATGTTCTGATGGTAAGATAGTTTTGTTTTCTAATTTGTATGTTCCAGTCTGTAATAATAAGATAAAAGGGTGTTTGATGATTCTTTCTCTTGTTTTTTTGGCTGCAGTTCATGCAGATTTCTAGTGATTTGAAGTGTTCGCAGTAGTGAGTGTTGGCAGTATTGAGTGAAGTCATGGACCATAAAACATGGCTGTGGAGGAAGAAATCTACAGACAAGAATGTTGTTGCTACTGAACATAAAGTTGACCTTTCTTCAAAAGAAGAAGAGGTAAATCTCGGCAATTTTGGGAGTCACTCAATTTTGTATGTTAATGCAATCTATTAGAATCACCAGTTAATGCAATTTATGCTTCTTTAATTCCACAATGTATGTTCTTTGTGATCAGAAGTTTGACACACAAGGTCACTTGATTATTCCTGGAAAACCTCAATTACTTATTCCTCAAATATACACTATAAAGATCAGCTGCTTTCTTGTAAAAGATTTTGATCAAATAACCAAACCTTCTTGCTTCTTTAAAGCTCAACTTTTGTTCCTTTAATTGGCTTTGTATGTCATACGGGACAACACAAATCACTGACTTATCTGATTTAGAGGAGTCAGCCTTTACTGTTCACTGTATTTATTCTTGGTTGATTTCATTTGATAAGAGATAACTGCAGTCTCTGATAATTAGAACTTGTTGCTATGTTCTATTGAAATTCACCATGAAATAAGCTAGTTTTGATGATTGAACCAAAATTAATCCAGATTGGTTTACCGATGCCTGTTACTAGAGTCTAGTTAAGACAATGAAGATGCCACCCTGCGTAGGTGACAAGACTTCTCCTTGCATGGTAGTGGAGACCTGACTCTGTAATCCTTCATTGTGCTAGCTTAGAAAAACCTAGACATTATCCAGATCTACTATATGGCTAAAGAAAAAATAAAAGTTGAAACTTTATGCTAAAATGCGCTTTTTGAACCAAAATTCAAATACTTACTGTCTCTGAAGTTTGAAGCTATGTCTTCCTGGTGATGGTCAACAGCATATCGTCATTTTTATTAGTTCACCAATTTCCCTTTTCAGATAGGGATGGGATAGAGGGAAGAGTTGCTTACTATCTTTGAAGAGAGTTACCTGCTTACTAGTTTCTGATCGCAATTCTGCATACTAAAAACCATGATTTACTTCAAACCATAAAGCCTGTCAATGAAGAGATTTTCTACTCCACTGGGACTCTTCTGAGTAATGATAGAAATAAATACCTTTTGTGTTATGGTGATGCCTTAGTTTATCCATTTGTTGAGAGCAATCAAGTGAGTTCTCCAGGTTTGGTGTGTAGAAATGTGTGAAAATAAACATTAAAACTGGTCACAGAAGAGAGAGAGTCAAATCAGCTTGGCAAGTCCTTGATTGCTTATATATGTATAGTTACAAAAAAAAGTCCTTGATTGCTGAAAGTGTACTAAAAACTTCACATTTACTTTTGGAAGTAATTTATATGTTGGATGATTACTAAGAGATTTGGATGTTCCAGATACAGACACTCTTGGCTGATAAGGCAGAATTGGAGAACAACCTGGAAAGTTTGAGTGACAAGCTTTCATCTGCCCTGTCTGAGTGTAATGCCAAAGATGATCTTGCAAAGAAACAAGCCAAGCTGGCAAAGGAAGCCATGGCAGGTAAATGACCAAACGTTGTTCTGTTTCAGCACTTTAGTGGTAGGGTTCCTTTTGCAATATATCACATTGTCAAATGTCTTCTGTAACCTTCAATACTCTATGATTATTGATTTTTGATAGGCCAGGAGAAGGCAGAAACAAAAGCAATGTCTCTAAAGCAAGAATTAGATGGAGCCTTAAAGCAAAGAGCTGCTGGAGAAGAAAGATTGTCTCATCTGGATGCAGCTCTCAAGGAGTGTATGCAGCAGCTACGTTTTGTTCGAGAAGAGCAGGAGCAAAGGATTCATGATGCTGTCATGAAGACATCCAATGAGTTTGAAAAGTCCCAGATGATTTTGGAACAGAAGCTGGCAGAGACTGGTAAAACACTTGCCAAAATAGGTCTTGAGAATACTCATCTAAGTAAGGCTCTCTTAGCAAAGGAAAAGTTGATTGAAGATTTAAGAAAGCAAAAGGCTCAGGTGGAGGCAGATTTTAATGCTCTGATGAGTAGGCTAGAGTCCACAGAAAAAGATGGTGCTTCTCTCAAATACGAAGTCCGAGTGCTAGAGAAGGAGCTTGAGATCCGAAACGAGGAGAGAGAATTTAATCGCAGAACAGCTGATGCATCACACAAACAACACTTAGAGAGTGTGAAAAGAATTGCGAAGTTAGAAGCAGAATGTCAGAGACTGCGTGTCCTGGTCCGCAAGCGGTTGCCTGGCCCTGCTGCCTTGGCTAAAATGAAAAGTGAAGTAGAAATCCTCGGAAGAGATTCAGTTGCAATGAGAAGGAGAAGGTTAAATGGTAGTCCTATGGATTTAGTGGTTGGCTTAGCTGTTGAAAACTCTGCTGACTCTCCCAGCAAAAAGATTAACTTTCTGACTGAGCAGTTATGTGCCGTGGAAGAAGAAAACAAGACTCTCAAGGAAGCCCTTAATAAAAAGGCAAATGAACTCCAATTTTTGAGAGCCATGTATGCTCGCACTGGTTCCAAATTATCACAGGTTGAATCATATCTTGATGAATCATCAAAAGGACAGATAGCCTTGGAGAGATCAAGGAGCGTGCTTATGCCACATGAGCTCTCTCTGGCCTCAATGTCCGAAATTGGCAGTGATGATAAGATTAGCTCTGCTGAATCTTGGGCTTCTGCTTTGATAACAGAAATGGAGCACTTCAAACAGGGAAAGCAAAGGGGATCACCAACAAACAGAACTATAGGAGCTACAGACATATCCCTGATGGATGACTTTGCTGAAATGGAAAAACTTGCAATAGTTTCAGTCGATAAGCAGTTCGAAAGTCCTTGTGTTTCTTCTAACAATGTTAATGCAATTGGTCAGGAGATCATTCCAGCATTAGAGACTGGAGCTGCTGTATCAAACCAGGTAATCAAGTCCATAGATAAAGCTTCCAGTTGGCTAAACGATATTCTGAAAATCTTGTCGGAGCAAAATCGTGTCACACTAAGAAAGCCTGATGAAATACTGGAGGATGTTAGAGTAGCTCTAGCAAATATAAATCACGCAAGCCCTGCAGAATATTTTGATACAAGGCAAAGCTCAACGCATTCTGATGCAGTAAATTCCCCTCATGTTGGTGGATACATCTCATGGAAACCTATGTATTCGGTGACTGATTCACCAGGTGGAGTTACTGAAGCTGATGCCTTGTTGACAGACAGGAGCAGTCAGCAGGTCCAGTCCGATCTCAGCAAATCACTCTGCAAGATTATTGAGCTTGTTGAAGGGATCACTTTATCATGTGCTGATCATGGTAACTCAGGGACGTTGACCAGAAAGGATGGGAATTTTTTGCCATATGAGAATACAGAAACACCATCAGGCTACATGGTCCGTGTTTTGCAGTGGAAAACTTCTGAACTAAGTGATGTATTACAGCAATTTGTTCGTGCTTGTTATGATCTGTTGAATGGAAAATCCGATGTGAACATGTTTTCCCAAGAATTAGGTTCTGCTTTGGACTGGATTATGAACCACTGCTTTTCGATTCAAGATGTTTCAAGCATCAGAGATGCAGTTAAGCAGCATTTTGATTGGGATGAATCAAGAAGTGAGTGTGAAGCAGATGTTGTTGCCTCCAATGGACATCATAACTATGTTGAGAAGGATGAATGCCATCAATCTACTATTAGAGAGGAAAATAAAAAGTTAAGAGAGGAGTTGATTAATATTGAGTCTGCAAAGAGAGACTTGGAAGCGAGGCTGGAGTCGGCTACTAATAAGAGTGAGTCCTTGATGAATCAACTTAAGGAATCAGAGAAAACCATTGAGAGCTTGCAAACAGATTTAGAAACTTTGCGAGGTTCGAAGGCAATGTATCAAATTGAAAATCACAAGTTGATGAAAGAAGATGTTGATACACAGCTTACAGCAGCCAAAGTTGAATTGAGGGAGGCTCACCGAAAGTTATCTTCCTTAGAAATGGAACTGGAGAACAAAAAGAGTTGCTGTGAAGAATTAGAAGCCACATGTCTTGAACTACAGCTCCAACTTGAAAGGTATCGAATTTTATTTCTATATGATTCCCCTCTTTTTAGGATCAAAGTAGGCCCACAACATAAGATAAAATTGACACAACATGAAATGTAGGATCCATGCATTTTTGGATGCCATACTCTTCGTGGCCCAAAATGTTGTCTAACTTTTAATTTCTCCTTCAAAAAGGTGGCTGATTCTTGTATAATAATAATAATTAAAAAAAAAACACTAGTTATCCGGCATTATGGAGAGATCTGATTTATCTGATATTTTTATTTTCAGTATGACGAAAAAGGAAATCCCTGACTCTGAACTCCATCAGGAAGAGAGCCAACTCCGGACGGTAAGTTCATTCAATGCCACCTTGTATATACAGATTGTTTTCACTTGCTAATGCAAGTATAGCATTTTGTTACTAAGCTTTTTTAGATAAATAGACAAAGGAAGATTGAAAGGATGACTTTATGTTTAACTTCTTTTGATAATTTATAAAATCTTGTGGAGGATAGGAGTATTGCTAGTTAGTATAGAGAATGTACAAGTCCTTAAGGATTGTACTTGAACTCCTGTACAAACTAAGTGCTTTCTAGTTTCTACCTAGTTCGAGTTGAGTCAATTTGCATATAGGATCAGTTGATTTCTCTTTTACTTCTTCTTCTCTAGGAAAAATGAGGCATTTGATTCTGCTTTATCTGAAATTTGACTGAAGCTCATTTTCCTTAGTCTGGATGAAGTTTTGTGTATACCCATGAAGAGCATGAATGGTCAAGTCGTTGGGATTTACACTGTAGGGTGCAACAGTAGAAGTCTTGGCTTACATTTTTGGCCCCTGTAAGCTGCTATTTCATGCAAAACTGAGTAAGACACCCTTCCTACTACCCTACGACAACCATTTGACCTTTTAGGATCAGTGGAAAGAACAGAGACTCAATTTTTGTGTCAACATGCTGTACGGTCTCGTTCTTCCAAAAGGCAGAAGGAATAGCTAGCATCCATGAACAGTTATTCTAATTACGTATTGTCTTCTATTCTTGCTTATTTTATCAGTGTTTCTGATGTTCTATCAGAGTTTTCATGTTTGTTATATATAAATGCCTAAATTACACAAGGACTTCTTAAATCTTGCAGGATTGGGAGATAACGGCTGCTTCAGAAAAGTTGGCTGAGTGCCAAGAGACAATTCTAAACCTGGGGAAACAGTTAAAGGCATTGTCTTCGCCAAGTGAAGCAGCCCTATTCGACAAGGTCATCGCTACATCCACGGACACAAATACCACCTCGGTGGTCACCGCCTCCACAAGCACAGCCTTGACTTCACCCAAGAACAAGATCTCGAACCAAAGGTCCTCTTTGCTAGATCAGATGCTAGCAGAGGACCATGCTGAAGTGAAGGGCACTAAATCAGTCAAATGCAAAGAAAGTGGTAGCAATTCCAGTCCCACCGTCATTTCCAATAAGGTGATCGAGCCTCTTGAAAAAATCCTCATTTTAAATGGAACTAAACACCGGGATGATGATGTTGCAATTAATTCTTTGGCCATTGTGTCTAGCAAGAAAGTGGGAGTTGGACGTTTGTGGAGAAAGTTGCTATGGAGAAAGAAGAAACCAAGCATCAAGAAACCATCCTTTCAGTTTGGCCAGTAACAAGTCCCATTGTATAATAAAAATGGTGGGAGCTCTCAAGTTTGTTGCATACTAGGGATCGAATATATTAAGGTTTGCCTCTTGTTGTTTTGAGAGCTCTTTTTGGCATTTTTTGTGTGTATTCATTCTGTACATATAACTGGTTGGCCCAGACAGTTGTTGCACTATAGCGAAATATAAGAGAAAAAAAAATCACGGTTGTGCATCAAACTATCTTCCATTCTTTTTGTTTGCAAGCAAGTTGATGCAGAATCTGGATTGTTTTTACCCAATCTTATTTCAAGCCGCACTTCCCTTGGGGACAATGCTTTCTAATTTCTGAGGGGATCATTGCTTAGGACAATGCTTAAAATCTTGGATTTGCAGTCCCTGAGCCAGAAGAGCACAGGTTGACTTGAAATAAACATGTTGGATTGATTAAATCTGCCAACCTAGATACTCAATCTCTATATTCCACAAATCTTGCAACATTATGAAGTCCAGCGTGTTTATAGCACTCAGCTATGTGTTCGACAGCTTCGTCCCAAGTACCTTCAACAGAAGCTAAGTCCAACAAAGATGCAGCTTCGTCCAATGCAATCTGCAAATTTGAAGGGCAAGGATCAACGTACATACTCACTATGAATTCCCTTCATAGTCAAGTCCAACATATACAGAAACTAAAAAACAGACGGAAACCTGGGCGGGTTCTTTCCCCTTGTTAAGATCTTCTTGCCTTCCTTCTTCAGTCATTTTTTCTTTAATATACTCAATTTGCTCATCCTCCCATTGTGCTATTTGAGCAACATTCTGGATAGGAAGCCAACCTCAAAAATTGAAATTCAAGGAAGAGGAAAAACAACACAGTACAATAAAAGGGGGAGTAAAGAGAAACTATCTAAGCAGCCCATGCCTGGTATCTGCAACCCAGAGTCCACCATGGTGATTTTAAAGCTCCCCTGGCAGCATCTTTAGCTTCTAACTTACGTCCAATCCTGTATAAAGTATGAGAGGCTTCTTAGATATGAAAAAAGAATTAAATGCCAAGCTGAAAATTCAGACATTTTTTTGGAGAAAACAATAGAAGAAATTCCTACGAACTTAAGCAAAACCTCCGCATTGAATGCAAAAGGCCTTGCAAATCCTGGAAAATGCTTTTTATTTGTATAGAACTCCCCAGTCACCAAAGCTGAAACCTTTATAGCCATGCATATGCAGACAGTTAACCACTCAGACTCGCAACGGTTTACAAATAGTAACCAAAGTCAGGTCAGTCTTACATGATCTCCTTTCTGCAAATGGTGCATCACTTTGCGCTCTAAGACATCGGGAAACAAACCAACCTGAAAATCACAATAAGGGAGTGAAGATCAATTTGAGGATTCCAAAGTGTCCACTGCTGAAAATTCAAATTTGTTTAGCGTGATCAGATCAAAGAAAGAAAAAAAGTTTTGATGGCTATTTACAGTAGAATTTCTACCTTTCTTAAGAGATATACGTCTAGGTCTAAAATCTGAGACTTAGCATAGTCACCCTTTGTATAAAGATTATCTCCAGCATCGGCCGCAGCATGAAACAGGTCAGCATTGCTTTTTGAAAATATATTAGCATCTTCCTCAACCAGGATTCGATGAATATATTGATCTACCTGCAGCATGACAAAAATTATGCCGTTAGAAAATATGTCTTTACATAAGGAAGGTCTGACAACTGTTTGTGTCCATTTTATATGCACAGCAGCAAGCATACTCAACTTACAGTCTTTGCCAAAAGCCAAACTCCATGTTTACAAACCTCAACCACTGGCATTTCCATCCTGGAAACATCAGACAACAATGACTGCAGGGAAAGAACATTTAACAACAAACAAAGACCATGAATAATTTGAGACTCTTACCCAGGTGGTGCCGTTGGCCATCTCAGCAGTGCAATCAAAGCACCTACTCACACAAATAAGCCATATGTATTACGCTAAAATTAGTTGCTTCTCAACTCTTAAGAATAGAAAAACCCCAAAACTTGCATTCATCAATACCTGAACCGTTTCTAGCCAGTGGAATGGCAAGAGGGATCAACCCTTTCTTGGCTCCAGGAGGAACAATGGACCCACCTGTTACCAAGAATTTAATGCAATAAGATTTAAGTTGTTTCGATGACAAGAAAACTGAACAAAAACAAGAATGCTATCGGTACACAAACATAATGCATCACTATAGCCTCGTCGACCAACTTTATTAGTCACCACGAGGTATTTCAAAACATATTTTGAGAAGGAAGGTCTTTGTTCACATGACAATATGTACAGTTTATTTGAAATATGAATTGAGGGTTCTATGCATGGTAATTTCTCCAAATGGCATCTAATTTTGCGCACTTTTCTTCACCTTAGAAGTTCAGCAACCTTAAAAAAGAAACATTTACAGAAAAAATCAAGACTTTATAGACTAGAAATGCACCTCTTGTCACATGAGTTAATAAGCACCCATGAAAACCTAAACCAAGTAGCATTGTCCAAGCCAATCCTTATCAAGACTCAAAAAGCAAAACCCAAAAACAAACCAAGAATTACAAGCCAAACAAAGCAAAGAACCTGATAAATACTGATAATTCAATTAATTTAACAAGTTTCACGAATGTAAAAATTTTGTTCTTCAAAAGTTGAATAGGGAGTAAGTTTTGTTCTTGACAATACCTACCTTTTGTCTTTAACATTCTCAACAAATGAGACAAATGCTTAGGAGGCTCAGTTGCAGCCACTTCTTTGATAAAACCGATATGGTCTGTAAATTTTCATCAACATTAAATAGTTAAAAACAAAAAAATAAAATAAAAGCAACAAAAGTGTATACATAACTATAACTACCAGGAAATGAAGAACAAGAAAAAGTGCTAAACGTAGTATGTCTGCGGTGGCTGAGACGGAAAGAGGTGGCGCGTGGAGCTCCATAAAACAATCCTCCGCCGAGTTTCATTCCTCTAATCGTGAACTGCGGTGGTGATTATTCCCTGCCACTGCGGTTGCTTTTGATGCAAATGAGGAGTCAGGTCAGGGCCAGAAGATGGTTGGGGCTAAAGCCCAGACCTGTCGTTCAGTGGTAGCTTACTAATTTTTTTTAATTTTAAATTTATTTTTTATTTTATTATTATTTTTTTTAATGAGTTCATTAAAGATTGTTGCGTTTCATTTTCTGGTTTTGTAAAACAAATAATCATTTCTTGTTTTTTGTTTATATTTTTTTGAAAATTTTTTAGTTTTTCAAAAAAAATATTTTAAGAAAAAAATATTATACATATTTAATTTAATTTAAGAGATATAAAAATATATTATAAGTTAAATTATAAAAACTAATAATATTACATTATTTGACTCTCATGCTATTTCGATTTTTAAATTAAAAAATTTCCTCTATTTTTAAAACTTTCTATTCAAATTGTATCATTTTATTTATTTATTTATTTTTAAGAAAGCAAAAGTCATTGTTAGATAAATTTCGGTCCGCATGAAAGGCGCAATGATCTAAATACTGTCTCGAAGAGAGATTCGGCAAAATAAACATATTTGTGAAGATGGTTCCGTATCATTTTCTGTTTTTGTAAAACAAATAATCATTGCTTGTTTTTTGTTTATATTTTATTAAAATTGTTTATTTTTTCAAAAAAAAATATATTAAGAAAAAATATTATACGGATTTAATTTAATTTAATTTAAGAAATATAAAAATATATTATTAGTTAAATTATAAAAACTAATAATATTACATTAGTTGACTCTCATGCTATTTTGATTTTTTAATTAAAGATTTTCCTCCATTTTTAAAAGTTTCTATTTAAATTGTATCATTTTATTTATTTATTTTTAAAAAAGCTAAAGTCATTGTCAGATTAATTTCGGTCTACATGAAAAGAACAATGATCTACATAATATCTCAAAGAGAGATTTGGTAAAATAGACATATTTGTGAAGATGCGGACTACTTGCACTTAGAGAGACGGACCATATAAAACTTTGCAATTGCCTTAGCTAAAGCAACTGTTGATATTGGAAACGTTTTCATTTCTTTGATTCATTATGTAGCGTGAAATTTATCATTATTGGCTAAATAATTATTTGGGTATGCCATTTTGGGATTTTCTATAAAGTAAGCAAGGGCAAGGATAGGAGATTAAATTTTTTTTAAAAAAAAACCCTTCAATAGGTTTCCGGTCATAAGCCTAATATTTCTCATTTGAGGATTTTTGGATGTGCAATATATGTCCCAATTACTCCTCCACAACGAACTAAAATGGGTCCTCGGAAGAGATTGGGAATATATGTTGGATATGAATCTCCTTCTATAATTAAATATCTTAAACCATTAACAGGAGATGTTTTTACGACTCGTTTTGCCGAATGTCATTTTGATGAAACAATTTTTTTCAACGAGTAGGGGAGAAAATAAACGAACAAGCGATTAGAAATGTTAAAAAAAAGAAATTACATAGAATATTTCATTTTTATATCATCTTAATCCCCATACAAAACAATATGAATTTGAAGTTCGAGAGGATAATTCATTTACAAAGTCTTACAAACCAACCGCCGGATGCATTCTCCGATCCAAATAGAATAACTAAATCACATGTTCCTGCCGAGAATGCTCCTATTAAAATTGATGTCCCAGTAGGACAACCTATTAATGTTATAACAAATGAATATAAAACATACCGAAGCGTGGAAGACCGATCAATTCTAAAGATAAAAATCCTCAAAAGAAAAAAAGAAAAACTAATCAAGACGAAAACATAAAGGAGGTCGATAAAATGATCCAAGATGTTTCGATAACAAGCATCCGGAAGAAGCCCAAATGCTTGAGAAAAATCAAGAAATTTCGATAAATTATGTTAACACGGAAAGAAAATGGGACCGAAAAGAAACATTCATTGATAACATATTTGCATATAATGTGGCAATTGATATCTTGAATAAGGATCCCGAGCCTAAATCCATTGAAGAATATCGACATAAAGATGATTGGCCTATGTGGAAATATGCAATTCAGGAAGAATTAAAGTCTCTCACAAAACGAGCGAGTTTTGGACCTATAGTTAAAACACTCGAAGATATTAAGCCAATAGGATACAAATGGGTATTTGTGCAAAAACGAAATGAAAAAGATGAAATTGTGAGATATAAAGTAAGACTTGTAGCGCAAGGATTTTCACAAAGACCTAGCATTGACTATGAAGAGACATAGCCTCCCGTAATGGATACAATTACATTTCGCTATCTTATTAACTTGACGACATGTGAAAAATTTCATATGCATTTAATGGATGTAATCACGACCTATTTATATGGGTCACTTGATAATGATATCTATATGAAAGTCTTAGAAGGACTTAAAATGCTCGAAGCATGTAAAATACATTCTCGAGAGATGTATTTGATTAAATTACAAAGATCTCTATATGGATTAAAACAATCTGGACGTATGTGATATAATCATCTTAGTGATTATTTACTAAAAGAAGGTTATAAAAATAATCCAATTTGTCCATGTGTCTTTATAAAGAAATTCGAAAATGGGTTTGTGATAATTGCTATATATATTGACGATTTAAATATAATTGAAACTCCCGAAGAGATTTTAAGTGCCATAAATTATTTAAAAGGAGAATTTGATATGAAAGATCTTGGAAAAACAAAATTATGTCTCGCCCTACAGTTCGAACACCTAAAAGATGAAATTTTTATTCATCAGTCAATATATATAGAAAAGGTACTACAGAGATTCTACATGGATAAAGCTCATCAATTGATTAGCCCAATGGTAGTTTATTCACTTGATGTTCAAAAAGACCCTTTTCAACCTCGAGAAGATAACGAAAAACTTCTTGGTCCCGAAGTACCATACCTTAGTGCAATTAGTGCATTAATGTATCTTGCTAATAATACTCGATCCGATATATCATTTTTTGTAAATTTATTAGCAAGATATATTTCTACTCTAACACGAAGACATTGGAATGAAATTAAACATATATTACGTTATCTCCGAGGAACAATTGATATTGGTTTATATTACTTTAATAAATCAAAGACTGGATTAATTGGTTATGCGGATGCAGATTATTTATCTAATCCACACAAAGCACGATCTCAAACTAGTTATGTATTTACAAATGGAGTTACGACTATATCATGGCGTTCTATGAAGCAAACTATAGTCGTCACATCTTCAAATCATATAAAAATACTAGCAATTCACGAGGAAAGTCGAGAATGTATTTGGTTAAGATCAATGACCCATCATATTTAAGAGACATGCGGTTTATCCACTAGCAAGGAAGTTCTAACAATCTTGTATGAAGATAATACTGCTTGCATAAGTTAATTAAAGGAATGATACATCAAAGCCTCCTTGTTGCCATAGGAATGCTCCCCATGGTCCTCCGAGAAACTTGGTGGTCTCCCCTAAATCGCTTTGATTATAATCTTCATCGAAAAGAGAAGGAGTAGCGATCAAATCTTCAAGGAGCTCAATCTTTCCTTTGTCAATGACAATCGGTAAAACCATCATGGGATGACCTCCCTTCCATGTGGATTGGTCAACGTGCCCAAAGTATATCGGAGGGTGATCGAGCAAGCTGCAAGCAGCATTGGTGTTTCGAAGGGCACTTTCATAATTTTAACATATATAAGCATTTTGGTAATTTTACCTATATTAGGCATTTTAGTAATTTCTAGTAGCATTCCAAGGGGCATTTTGGTCACTATCTAGTGACCATTCGGTTTGATTTCTTATATTTTTTATAATTATTTTATGATATTATTTTTTAATAATGTTAATTTTATTTGTGTTAGAAAATCTAGAAATATTTTAGGTTGTGAGATTTATTTTAATGTATGGAGTTGATTAGGTCGTGGTATCGGATCAAGGAGTCTCTTATTTATTGGAGACGTATGATGGTTCTAATATATTTTTATCCAATAATGAAAATGCTAAAAAAATAATAAGGAATCAATTTAGGTTGATTTTATTTAAAATTTTGCATAAACATTTATAATTAATTAGTCGTTCGACATACCAACCAGATTATGTCAAAACTTTAATTCAAATTTGATGCTAAATTGATGAGACTCTCAAATTTTTGGACTTGACGTTAATTTAATACGATGTCCCAAAAAAAATTGATAATGTTTTCATCATATAGCACAAAACAAAACATGAAAAGAACAAAAAAAGAAAGAAAGTATTTTAAGCAATTTTAACGAGTCTTCCATCCAATAAGGATCGATGTTAATTCAAATCAATCATATTTTAGTAATTAAGTCATTATTCGACATATTGGCTATGTCGAGACTTAAACCGAATTCGATATTGGATTGACAAGACTTTCAACATCGAGGTTCGACAATCAATTCAATATGATACTACAAAAAAAAAAAAAATTGGCTTGGATAATAAACTCGGAAATTGACTCAAAAATATTTTGACAAAAATAAAGTTTATACGAAATAAACTTTTAGGATTAAACCAGTACATGATATATTTTCTCGAAAAGGGTGTTTTTTAGTGATTGATATCTTTTCAAAGATATAACCAACTCTTTACCCTAAAACTAATGTTATTTTTAGGTTTCTTAGTCCCTTCAATACTAGATGGTGACTCCAAAATTAATAATAACTCACATCCCTAAACAAATAAATTTCAACTTAAATTTTTGAAAGTTCTACAAACGTTAGGTCGTGACAACAATGACAATAATGATATATGTAATAAGTAAAGTGAAAATTAAGTTAAGAAGTGAATGCATTATTAAATTTGCTTATACAATTAGCATAATAATAAGAAAACATACATGCATGTACTTGCCGATGTTCTTGAAATTTAGAATTACATGACTTTCAATATTTGGAAAAATGTTTTGAGAAATCATATATATATAAAGATCATGGAAGCACAACAGATTCATAAAATCTATTTATAATAAAAGAAAAATGATAGATCATAGTAAAAGAAAAGAAAAGACATCCGATGTGAGAAAAATGAAATAAATTTCTTGAGAAAACAACATTTTTTATGCCCAACCATTGATTTTTTATTTTTTATTTTTATGTTTAGGTACTCAATCTTTATTTATTTATTTTTCTCGTTTAAATGCCTAACCTTTGATTTTTTTTTCTATTTGAGTACCCACAACCACTTTAGTCTAAAGTGGCGTTGTGTTTGGAATCACAAAAGATTCATAAAATCTATTTATAATAAAAGAAAAATGATAGATCGAGTAAAAGAAAAGAAAAGACATCTAGTGTGAGAGAAAATAAAATAAATTTATTGAGAAAACTATATTTTCGATGCCCAACAATTGATTTTTTATTTTTTATTTTTATGTTTAGGTGCTCAATCTTTATTATTATTATTTTTTGTTTTAATGCCTAACCTTTGATTTTTTTTTTCTATTTGAGTACCCACAACCACTTTAGAATATAAAGTGCTTGGTGTGTTTGGAGTTGACTATCACGTGGTATTTTTAAATGCCATGTGGTAGCTCTCGTTGGATACATCATCAAAATTGAATCTTTTTAGGTATTAAAACAAACAAACAAACAAAAAATTTAAAATTTAGATAGCAAATCATTAAAAATTAACGATTAGGCATCAAAACATAGAAACAATAAAAAATTAGGCACCAAAAATTTCATTCTCTCTATTTACAATTTATATTGTTATTATTATTATTATTATTATCATAACTAAAAACTGTAACTTTTCCCTTTACGTGCATGATTTCATATATTTATAATTTACATGTGTTGAAACCGTGCAGACCTAAACTACCCTTTTTTGAGAATTTCTCTCTTTATTTTCGTCTTTTTTTCACAAAAATTTACTTAGCAAGGACAAAGGTATTTAAGAAAAGTTTAGATAAGGAAAAATTACAATGGAAATAGAGCATCCAACTCACACATGAATGCTTGCTTTTTTCTCTTTCTTTTTCTTTTATTTTTGTATTTTGCTTCCTCTCAAATTTTTTAATCTCTTTCTCTCTCTCTCTCTTTTTTCCTGATCTTTACGAAGCTATGACTTTCACAATACTCGTTTTTTATTTTTGCTCGACTTTTTTTTTCTTTTATTTGAGACTCATAAAAAAACAAAAACACATAAAATGTGTCACCGTTTGAAAAATAAAAAAATCATATAAAATACGAATTTTAAGATTTTTTTAATGAAAATTTTATGAAATCTCGAGGCTAAAAATAGGTTATGACACATAATATGAAAACATATATTAATTTAGAAAAAAATGTATTTTAATTTTATTATCTAAATTTTGAAAAGAATTATTTGTTAAATAAATTATGATTTACTTTGGTTAATTATTTTTAATTGGTATAGATTAAAAAAAAAACTATAATCTACTCTCGTTAATTAATTTTCTTCTATATTCATTCCATGGAATGATAAAGAAAATTTTACATACAATTATATATTTTTTAAAAATAGAAGTGATCGGGTAAAAAAAGAAACAGACAAGAATCAAGCTTCGCTTGATTGAAGAAAATGATAATCCAAATCCCGTGATGGATTTTTATAATTTTTTTTTGTTTATAATTCCTTATAATGAGAGCTCTTATTTGATGCTGGTATCGATCGATTTCCTGACTGGATTTTGTCAGTCCAAAATTTTCTCTTTTTTTATTTTTTTTTATTTTTTGCTTTTATAATTTTTAGATTTCAACCTAATGGTGCAAATTAACTCTTGCAGTATCAATAGTTTAGATATGAAAGTAAGGATAGAAGTTGAAATTATAATTTATTTAAGGGAAAAACTTTGAAAACAAAAATTTATAAGTTGTTTCTCTATTTTTGTCCTTGGTATCCCTGCTTTTTAAAAAGACATAAATTTGGCCAAAATTTGTGGAAAAACAGTAATTTTTGTCTCAATCTCTACAAAAAAAAAAAAAAATTATTATAATATCTATCTTTTAGTTCAAAACCAAACACCACCTTAATTTATATTATATTAATATAAATGATTGACAACTTTTAACTACTTCAAATAACCCAAATTATTATAAAAGAAATGCACCGACCAATAAGCATCCCAAATCAAGAAATTTGCAACCTTAATTTTGAAAGAATTAGGTTGATCCATGAGTCACTATCCCTAATTTTGTAGGCTGGATAGACTTGACCTTTCTAATTTTAGATAAGCACCGTCTAGGAATATCAAATGAAGAGAATAGCAGAGCAGCCATGAGCCCATTTGATCAAAAAACATCAAACGCTACGAAGTTTTAAACAGTATATAATTCAAAATAAAGTTGCCACGTTTCCTTTCCCCCATAAAATTTTACTCACATTTTAAAAAACACAAAAGAAACAAAAAAAGAACCCAACAACCATTGAAATTAATATATTATTATAATTACAAAACAACCCCAAAAAAATAAATCCAAATTAAATCGAAAACCAAACCTCTCCCAAAATTTTATTTTTAGGGTTACAGGCCGACCCGCCAAATCCTCTCCTACTTGTTTTTTCCTTTTTTTTTTTTTTTTTTTCAATCTTTCCTTAAAAACTACGGCATTAATTTTATAAATCGGATTCTAATCCGGATCCTCATTGTTGATTCGGATTCTAACAATGGCGTCGTCGCCGCCACCGCCGCCTGCCTCCGTTTCCAGATCGGAGCTTCTTAAGGACTCTCCGGTACTCTCTTTCTCCCAATTCATGAACGTTATTTTCGCTTGCGATGATTCGTTAGATTATCTATTTATAATTTTCTCTTCTGTTTGTCGATTTCTTGATACAGTGGAGAATGTGTTTAATTTATAACTGCATTGTACGTAGTAGTGGTAATTTTTTTGGTGCATTTATATTGATAATTTTTGTTGCAACTTATTTTTTAACAATTTGTGGTTCAAAACTAAAATTCGATTCAAAATATTGCAAAATCCTTGAATGCATGCCACTGCACTTCGCCTTGGAGCTCCAGCCAGTCTGATTTTTATTATAATTATTGGTTGATGGTAGTGATTTTCCATTTTAGTGAATTATTTTGAGGTTATTTATAATTCTTTTATTTATAAGATTATTTATAATTCATGGATGTGATCTGACCAGTGTGGTCTGGTCCACTTTTTTCTTGGTTGATTGTAGCGATTTTTCTGTTTCTAGTTAACCTTTTTAATGCCATTTTGGCATTGTTTTTTCATGTTTGTAATTAGAATGGACAGTGATGATTTTGTTTTTTATAGATGAAATCTAATCAAGAGACAACTGTAACAAACAAAGAGGTTTTATCAGTTATTGAATCCTTAAAGAAGCAAGTTGCAGCTGACAGATGCGTTTATGTTATGGTACATTCTTATGATATCATATTAATTTTGTATTTCTATGAAATACTTTCTTTCGGGATCTGTTTTCAGTCCATTTACCTTTTGTTTTGTTTTTTGTTCTCAGAAAAGGATGGAAGAGAACAAACAAAAGTTGGCTGGTGTTACAAACCACCTTTCTAAGTTGTCAAAGGAAAGGAAGAACAATTGGATTACTGATACTGACAACAGTATAGATTTATTTACAAGGAGGCAAAAGGATGCACTCAGTATGCATGGTGGTATTGATGCAAGTAATGTAGATAAGGATAGCCATGGCTCTGAAGAAGATGGGCATACTTCTACTGCAGTTCTTTTGGGATCCAGTATCCCTGTCAAGAATGCAGTACGGCCTATTAAGCTACCTGAAGTGAAGAGATTACCTCCTTATACGTCATGGATTTTTTTGGACAGGTATGTTTAGTTTATTCCGTATCCAGATTTTGTTTTTCCAAAGTGGTAGTTGGTCATTGGTGGATTTTGAGTTGTGAATTCCTGCTGTAGAAATCAAAGAATGACAGAGGATCAATCGGTGGTTGGTCGAAGGAGAATTTATTATGACCAAAATGGTGGTGAAGCATTAATCTGCAGCGACAGTGAAGAGGAAATAATTGATGAAGAAGAGGACAAGCGAGATTTTATAGAATCTGAAGATTATATTCTGCGGTTGGTATAATCATGTTGTCTGGTGTGATGTATTAATTTTTTTTTTTTTTTTTTTGCTTTTACTTCAAACTTTATGCTATCGTGAGGTTGATTGGCGTGGAAGGTCTTACATTCAAATCTTTTGAATGAAAAAAAGAAAAGAAAAGAATTTTGTTTGGAGTGGAAGCTCCCTGCAAATTTTATCTCCATCTTCAAGAAAGAAAATCTAATCTACTTTTATTTGAATAGACGAGCTCATGGCCTTTATCTCGAGCATTATCGGTGCCAAATGTCATCAAAAGAATGGGCATAGCTGTGTCAAAAGTATTGATGAGCTGTCTGTTGATTGAGCCACTGGCTTTTGACAAGTAGTTGTCCTGAGTTGTAACTCATTTCTGTTCGTTACAGTTTACCAATAAATGCTGAAAACATAGTAGTGCATTATGCATACCACTTGATGCTAAAACCTTGCTTGTTAAAACTTTTAATTATCTCCTAGTTCAATGTAAATTATGCCCCCAGATTTTTTTTTTTCAGGGATGTTTGATATGCTTTAGTATGAATCTGAAGTAAAGGTGTTTTTTTTTTGGGGGTTAAGAATTTTGTTTTGCCAGGATGACTATCAAAGAAGCTGGTCCATCTGACACAGTGGTGGAATCACTGGCACAGTGTTTTTCTAGAAGCCCTAATGAAGTCAAGGTATGCATTTGTGGCAGGAGGTTTTTTTCTTTTGAGTAGTTAGGAGAATGAGTTATTGTGAGGCTATTTTATATGTTTTTTCCTTCTTCAATTGAAGCATCCATATAATTTTTATTCTATCAGTTGTCTCTTCCATTGTAATATCTAATGAAAACTGGTCATAGTGTAAGCTTGGGTCCAGCGGTTTCCCATTTGCTTTTTGCTGGCTTTACAGAGATATGAAACACCATCAAACATCTTATACAGGCAAGATTTGAGGTTCTTAAGAAGGAAGAGAAGGCAGTGGAGGATTCTAAGAATAAAGATAATGAAGCACAAACACTGAATTCTTTTCTTGATAAAGATCTTGAAGTTGCTTTGGATTCTTTCGACAACCTATTCTGTCGCCGATGTCTTGTAAGCAACATTCTTGTACCCGTTTCAATGTTGTTTTCTTTTTTGTTTTCCTGTGACTAAAAAACTTCCTCATTCTGTTTCATGTTGGCAGGTATTTGATTGTAGATTACATGGATGTTCACAGGATCTTATCTTCCCTGTAAGTTCATTCTGTAAGACTAATCATCAAGCTGTTTAATTAGTGTCTAGAGGGAATCTTATATGTTTTGTTGGCACACCATATTGTTAGGCTGAGAAACAATCTCCATGGAGCTATCCAGATGACAACATACCATGCGGTCCACACTGCTACAAATCGGTATATGTTTTGAGTTTTATTAAAATGATTTGTTTAGATTGGGCATTTCTACACAAGGATCTAGCAAACAGAAAACATTCAAGTGCCATCAATTTCACTCATGTCAGGTTTTGAAGTCAGAAAGAATTGCTTCAGGGATTTCTCCTGAGGGTGGGGTTATTGAAGAAAATTCCATCTGTCACTCAGATGGTGCTGGGGTACCTATATCATCACGAAAGAAATCTGCTTCATCTGCCAGGAGGAGGGTGAAGTCCTGCCAAAGTGAAAGTGCTTCATCAAATGCAAAAAACATTTCAGAGAGCAGCGACTCAGAGATTGGACCTCAGCAGGATGCCTCTCCCACTAGTCAGTTATCACCCTCCAAGATTAAGCTTGTTGGGAAAGGTGGGACTTGTAAGCGGAACAGCAAGCGAGTGGCTGAACGTGTTCTAAGTTGCATGAGGAAAAGGCAGAAGAAAATGGTGACTTCTGATTCTGATTCTGTTGCTAGTGGAGGCCTTTTGTCAAGTGATATGAAACTTAGATCCACTTCGCACAAAGGAAAGGATGATGCAACTTCTTCTCATAAGAATGTGAAATCTCCCACCACTGCAAGGTCTAGGAGGAAGGAATTGACGATTCAGGATGGTAACAGTTTAGTGCAGAGTGAATTTCATGATGTTCTATCAAGTGAAATGGTCTCGGACCCACCTGTGACCAGCAGTGAGGACACCTTGAGGAAAGAAGAGTTCATAGATGAAAATACATGTAAAAAAGAGCTAAGTGATAACAGATCTTGGAAAGCTATTGAAAAAAGCCTATTTGAGAAAGGTGTTGAGATTTTTGGCGGGAACAGGTCAGGGAGTGCATTTCATGTTCATTCCTATTAATTTTGTTACCAGTTCCTTATTTGTTGAATTTGTTTTGATATTTTGGAAGAGTGATGGTTTTGACTATGTGTGATGTTTGATATAGCTGTTATGTTAGAAGGTACTTCACTTAATTCACCTATGGTAAATAGATTTTATGTTTTCACTGTGCTCATATTTCGTTGTCATTGAATTTGTTTTAAGAAACAAAGATAGTACAGTGATATCCAATGGAAGTAAACCCATGAGAGACTGAACTGAAAATGTTTTGTTAGATGAGGATTGCATAATAATGCTTCCTTTCATTTAAGAGATTTATCAAGTACCTTGGTTTAAAAGGTGTATTTTAGAATTATTGCTTGGTAAAATGGAGATAGATAAACAATATGCTATAATTATCCTGAAATGATTGCAGCAAGATTTGGTGATTCATTTTTTTCTTAGGCCCAGATTGTGTGTGTGTGGAGGGAATTCTTAAAATCTTTGTGCCTTTTCATTGGTCCTTTTAAAATTACCATATGTGCTTCTTATTATGCGAGCATACATAATAGATGAGCTTGTTTGCATTTTATTTTCCATGATATTTTATAAATAATAATGTAATCGACCAATCAAATAAGTGGTCCCACAAATTGAACAGCCTTTACCACCGACCTTCCTAGAATTACACACTCTAATGATCTTACTGCTGATACCTTCATATTGCTTTGAGGAGAATTGGCTGCTGTTTCATCGCTTCTCCGTCTAAAGTTTTTTTTTTTTTTTTTGGGTGACAGTTGCTTAATTGCTAGGAACCTTTTAAATGGTTTGAAGACATGCTGGGAGGTTTTTCAATATATGACTCGCTCTGAGAATTGGCTAGCCTGCGAAGCAGGGGATGCTGGAACTCTTGGTGAAGGGTACTCCAAGTTTGACAGCAATGGAACAATGGTTAGAATTTTGCTTATTGTCTATGGCCATGTTTTTGTTTACATGCGAGTGAGTTTTAATCTTTTTCTTCCTTTTTTTTTTTTCGGTTGTGGGTATTGAACTGAATATCAGGGAAAGAATGAAGCAAGAAGGAGATCAAAATTTTTAAGGAGAAGAGGTAGAGTTCGCCGCTTGAAGTACTCTTGGAAATCTACTGCTTACCATTCTATTAGGAAGCGGATAACTGAAAGAAAAGATCAACCATGCCGTCAATATAATCCATGTAGTTGCCAAACTGCTTGTGGAAAACAGTGCACATGTCTGCTAAATGGCACATGTTGTGAGAAGTATTGCGGGTGAGCCTTCCTTTAACAACTCAAAATTTGACATCAAGGATTATGGGATCTGTTTACTGTTTTGTTTACTCTTTAGTTTCCTTCCAGAAATGAGAATTCAATAAACTTTATTTTATTGTAGGGCTTCATTCAAATTTAGAGTTTTCTCTTATAGAGCTTCATTCCTTACCAGCACAAACAAATCTGGGGCCTTAGATTTAGATGTTTGTGCTTCTGTCTGTATGTGTGTGCATGCATGCACATTGATGCTTTTGATGAATACTCTCAACTAATCTTTACTTGCTCCTCTAGATGTCCTAAGAGTTGCAAGAACCGATTTAGAGGCTGCCACTGTGCTAAAAGTCAATGTCGAAGTCGTCAATGTCCATGCTTTGCTGCAGACAGAGAATGTGATCCAGATGTTTGTAGGAATTGTTGGGTCAGGTGAGTTGGTTCTCTTGTTCCTTATGTTTTCCCTAGTTAATGCTTTCATGAACTGTTTCTAGGCTAATTATTTACTGACCTCTGCCTGTCTACTGCTTTTTATCATAATTGTAGAATAGTGTGAAAATTTTCGTGATAGCTGCACTTGAGAATTAATGATGTGCACATTGGTAAATGATACATTTGTATATTCTAATGTTGAATCGGATCACAAAGGATTGAAAGTTCCATGAAGTTGCTTCAGGTAGCCAAACTTTTAGCTTTCTTTTGGGGTTGAAATTTTATCGAGTTTCAAAGAATTTAAAGGTGGGAATTGTTTATTCTAAATGTCAACATTTTGTTTGGTTACTTTGGAGGGGTTAAGGGTTTTTGTCTGTATCAAATGGGGTTTGGGCTTTTGGTGTGTTGGGTTTGTATTAGGGTGGTGAGGAAGTGTTTGTGCCTTGAGGCCAAATGTGATAGCAGAGCATGTATGGGATATTGGAGGGCAGCCCTCGTGGGTTAATTAAATGTGCTTAAGGGCAACCCTTGAAGCAACCAAGTGAATGTAATGGCAACCTTAGAAGCTGAGGATGGCAACCCGTGGTAGATTAAAAGGATAAGTTAGGAAGAGGCACGAGAGGAAGAGCATGCAGTCTTAGCAAACAGGAGTATGGGTGGCAGGTAATGGCTTCAAGTGACAGAGGACATGATGCATAAGGGAGGATATTCGCTTCATGATTGAAAGGAATTGGGTGGTTATGGAAAAGCTACCCAAAAGGGTAGGTCCTAGGAATGTGCCCTGGATGACACCAATTCCAAGTAGAATTTTAGGCTGGAGGGGGAAGTATGTTGTAGAGAGGTGAAGTGTAGGAGAAATTAAGGACAAAATTAAGCATATACAGTTACCAAGAGGCTGTATCTCACAGGCTCTGAAACTGAAAAATAATCAAAAGCTTTGGTCCAAATTTTAGTTCTAAGTTCACACATGAAGATGGTTCCATTTCTCAAAATTTTGCAGTGAAAACTTAAGTAAACAGCACTCTATTAATGTCCTTCCCACCACTGTGCCGATGTCAGCATATACCAAATGCAGTACCTCCAAGCTGGAAAAATATGTACTCTTTGGCTCTTTATGCTTAGGAAAATGCTATTGTTATTTATGTCAGTTTTATGTCATTTGATGTACTTATGAAAATTTATCCTTCACAGGGTTTTTAAATTGATGTTTTGTTTTTTAGTTGTCCAGAAATATATCTAATCTTTTCCTCACTCTTCTTGCACTACTACATGTCATTTGAGCTGTTTAAATTTGCTTTGCAGTTGCGGTGATGGTTCTCTTGGTATTCCCAGCCAAAGGGGTGATAATTATGAATGCAGAAATATGAAGCTTCTTCTCAAACAACAACAAAGGGTAGTGACACTTTAATCTCTTTGTTACCTTTCATTGTTTTATAGTTAGAGATAGTTGCACACATTTGAATATTCACGTCTCTTAGCTGTCTGGCATATAAAGTAATCTGATAGTGTGATGATTGCTGAAGTTCTCTAGTAAACAGTATCATTCTTCTATTTGTTCATTCTATACTGTCTTCATGAATGCTCATAATGTGGAAAACCAATCTTCTAGCTTGCTTATCAGCATCCTTCTTAGAGCTGTGAAATTGACCAAGTTTTTCTTTATGGCTGGACTGAGCTGGAAGATGATTCTAAAAATGTAGTCAACTGAAATATGAGGTCTATAAGACAGATTTATGGTATAACTATGCAATACAGAACTGCTTGTTATGTATTGGCCATAAAACTCTGAGACCGTCCTAGGGAGCGTATAGAGCGTGCCAAAATAAAAATATAACATATATTGGTAGTTTATGAACTTAGGAAGTGGTTTAAAGTTTTCGTATGAACTAGGAAGAAGAAGAGGCCTTGTTATTGAGACTGATGAAAGTGCAAAGAGCAATGCTTGCAAGAAGGCAGAAGCCAAGTGATACCATCCTCCAACCTCCACCCTTAACCTAATGGGTTTCCCCACATCATCTAATCTGTTTTTCTTTAATTGCTTCCTTTCCAGATGTCTGCATCAAATTATGTTTAAATTATTGCTTTCAAACAGCAGACATTTGATGGGGGCTTTTTTTAAGCTGCTTTCATTTTCTCTATTTTACTAATATCTTGTTCTACGAATAGGTTTTACTTGGAAGGTCTGATGTATCGGGCTGGGGTGCTTTCTTGAAGGTAATATTCCAAATTGACTACATAATGCGGGATAAATGGCCCCTTACATCCTTCTCATCCCATGTGGTTTTTGAGATTTAATCTCAAAGTCATTCGGTATAAAACCTAGAGATTTATTTACTTGTTTTCTCGTACTTATTAATATATCCTGCTCCCTACAGAATAGTGTAGGCAAGCATGAGTACCTGGGTGAGTACACTGGAGAGCTGATTTCGCATAGGGAAGCAGATAAGCGTGGGAAGATATATGACCGTGAAAATTCGTCATTTCTCTTCAATCTCAATGATCAGGCACTACTCATTACGCTGCTTTAAGATCTTATATGAGGATTCAGCCATCATCTTTGGTTGTTTATATGACACCAAGATTTGTTTCTTGCAGTTTGTTCTTGATGCATACCGGAAGGGTGACAAACTTAAGTTTGCCAACCACTCTCCAGAACCAAACTGCTATGCAAAGGTATGCTCTTTGACTGCTGTAGCACACAGCCTATGTGATACACACACACACACACACACACACATAGATATACATACATACATACATACATCTACATACATACATGTATATATATATTTTACTTTTGCACTTGGGATATGTTTTATGATTTTTCCACTTTTTTGTTGCTTTCAACCATTGCGCTGTAGGTCATAATGGTTGCAGGGGATCACCGAGTGGGCATATTTGCCAAAGAAAGAATTAATTCAGGGGAGGAACTTTTCTATGATTATCGTTATGAGCCAGACAGAGCTCCTGCTTGGGCTAGGAAGCCTGAAGCATCTGGATCAAAAAAAGAAGATGGTGGTCATTCAAGTGGCCGTGCGAAGAAGCTTGCTTAATTTAAGCATCTACTTACATTCTCAATTCAAAATTTTTATCAATTCTTTTACAAGTAGAAGTACCATTCTCACCGATGGTAGGAGATAGGTTCATGATCAATCATTTTGTCATCGGAGAGGCCATTGTCGTCTCCACCATGACTTTACTGATTTTTATTCTCAGTTAACATTTATTCCAATTTAAACTGGATTATTCGTTAAAGCAGCAAAAGAAAAAGAAAAGTTGAGTGAATCAGTTCCATCTAACATCAAACTGTCAAGTAAAAGAACCAATAGTTAAGCAGTTGTATCAACACCTTTGCAAGTTAGAAAGAATAGCAACGCTTTTTTGAGACCAGCTTTTCCATGGGACCTTGGTGTCGACGGACATCTTGAGCCCAAGTTTGTTTGCTGGTTTACTGCAGTTAGCAAGGCTATGTTTCTTTGTATTGATTTGTTTTTTCCTTTATTAAGATAACTAAGTGAGGAACCTACTGGAATTTGTTTGGGTAAGTGTCCGCAACGAGATGAATTACAACTGAAGAGGAGGGGAAGAAAAATAAATTTGGAATGCGGACATTGCTGTGGAAGATGATGCGGCTAAGAGTATTGTTTTGGAATTGTCTGGGTGGGAAATCCTCTTACAGTTCAATACCTAAAGGCGCTTATCAAGCTTCACTCTCCAGTTGCTGTCATGCTTTGCGAAACTAGGAATCCAGCAAAGATGATGGAGTCTACAAAGAGATATCTGGGCTTTAATAATATGCTGTACATTGAGTCTGTGGGTTTAAGTGGTGGTATGGCGTTTATGTGGTCAGACGATAGCGTGATGAATAAATTGTGAGGGCCACTCAGCTTTTCATCAGTGTTTCAATCATTGAGGGTAATGGTTTGCAATCTTGGCAGAATTTTAGTGTCTATGTTAATTCTGATATAAATATTAGGAGTTCTCAATTAATTGATTTAGTATTTTGAATTCAATAAATGGCCTTTTTTCTTTGTTGGGGACTTTAATGATATTCTATCTCTCATAAACGAGATGGGGAGTTAGTGGAGGCGCTTGAGCTTCGTATGTTGAAAGATTTTGTTGATGAGGTGGGTTTGGTTGATTAGGGTTTTCGGGGTTCTATGTATGCATGGTGTAACGGACAAAATAGAGAGGGATATATTCCGAAGAGACTTGCTAATAATGTATGGTTTCGGGAGCGTCCTTCGGTGATGGTTTGTCAGTTGGACTTTATTGGTTTTGACTATTAACCTTTGCTTTTGGACTCTCAAGCCTCTTCTCGAAGGGTTAAGCCTTCTTGTCACTTTGATGATAGATGAGTATCCAATGAAGAATGCGATCGCATTATTAGGAGGGTTTAGAATTTAGAGGTAGTGGGTTCCGGATGGTACAAGGAGTCGAAGAGAATTAGAAAATGGAGAGTGCACATTCTTAATGGAGATAAAAAGCTAATGTGAATTCACGAAAGCAAATAGAGGAAGCTGGAGCCCATTTGACCGATCTAATGGAAGGGGTTCCTTTTGATAGGATTGTTGATAAAGTTCAAGAAGCCTCGGTTAGAACAAGAGAAATATTGGAGGACAAAATCTAGAAATCAATGGCTTCAACTAGAAGACCGTAATACCCTTTTATTTTTTTTTTCCATTAAAAAACTATTTAAAGGAAAAGGCATAACCGATTGGTAGGCTTGAATGATGGAAACGGGGTGTGGTGAGATAAGGATAATGATGAAGAGGATTGTTATTGATTATTTCCAATCTTCTAATTTTTCTCAAATCATCTTCAATTTGGACCATATAGCTTTTGTCATTTCTTTCCAAATGAACCGAACTCTTATTGGTGATGTCATAGAGGAGATTAAGATGGCCCTCAAACAAATTAATCCTAACAAAGTTCGAGACTAGATGGTATGACTTTGAAGTTTTTTCAAACTTTTTAGGACATAGTTGCTCGAAATTGTTATATCCAAATATAATTAGGATATGCGAGCTCAATTAAATTGGTTAGGATCCAATAATGCTTCGATCGTAAAGCTTTAAAAGCTATTTTTACACCTAAAGTCTAATCCATTGGACAAAATTCAAACGTGGCCACGTAAGGAAAAAAGCTTGAAAAAGAGTTTGTGCAAATAGAAAGACTTACTATAACTTTTGACAAATGATAACATGGGCAAAAAGAAGTGGGAAGACAAATCTTCTATATGTAACAATGGGTTAGCAAAACTAGGTAACTGGAACCATAAATAAGGACATGATATGTTTTAATGGACAAATGGGAATGCTAAAGACAATGGAATGCTACGGACATATAACACCGTAGTCCATGGATGGAAGTTATTGTAGTTCAAAAACGTGCCCAATATAGAAGATTGAAAAGGCTATAAATATAGTTGCAGCACACGAAGAAAAACACACAACAAACAATACAATCAACTACAATAATACTCTTGTAAATTATCGACTTTAACTTTCGGTTCAAACACTTGAAACACGAGTAGGCTATAGATTGTAAGCAATGATAAAGTAGGTTATAATCAAGTAGGTTGATAGATCGTTTCGGTTCAATTTCTACTTTCATTGCAACAAACATAGATCTCGTATCTTGATATTTGGAGTTTGATAGACGGTTCTAGTGTTTATAAGTTTTTATGCTTTTGCTTCTAGAGTCGGTATTATTTATACTTCCAAGGTCAATATTGTTTGTAAAGACTTTTAATTTTGTATTTACCGACTCCTATTTTCGTTCGAGCTTTGTATTTCATAGTTATAAACTTGTTAAAGTTAGTTATTGTGAGTTAATTTATGTTTTGAATAGTTTTGAATAAAGATTCTATTTTCATTAATATCTTGATATCTAGTTAAATTTATTTACTTAGTTATTTTAGTCGTTTAATTGAGAGACTAAAAGATTGATTGCCTTCTAACCATATTATAGAGATAGATCAGTTAGAATGTGAGGAGTCTCCCAAGATAGATATATTGACATGATACTATAAGGTTTAGTATGGAAGAATAAAAAAGAATTTCTTTGAATGTCATATAGTTTGATGGCCAATAAATAAGGTATCCATAATACATGTTAAGGAACCAAAGTTTCATCAATGGTCCAAGCATGTATTGCGATGCTACCATCTTATTAAAAAGATCATTAGTTATGGCAAAATAAGGATAGAAAAGGTTTACACTAACGACAATATAGTTGATCCTTTGACTAAGCCTTTGTCACAATCGAAACGTGAGTCCTTTACTTGATCGTCGGGATTAAAGGACATGGCCGGTTAACTCTAGTACGAGTGGGAGATTATTAGTGTAGGTTCTTAAGATCTAACCATATTTGGATCGATTTAAGTTATTTTATTATTGCATCATTTATTTTATTAATAATAAAGAAGTCTTTCTATTAATTCTTATGTTTTATGTTTATTTATTCGTTAAATTAGATAGAAGTCCTTATGATATGCATTTGTATTGGTAGTTGATCGAAAGATGTGAGACAAACACTAATACACATAAATAATATCATTAAATGTCCGAAGTCATAGTATTGTCAAGAATGAACATTGACAATATGTGATAAGACTTGTGAATGCTATGCTCATGCTATATGATAGCAGTAGGAGATCTCACATCTATTGGCATGATAATGCCAAAGTAGGTACTTAGGTGATTCATGTTAGAGAGCATATCATTGGACTTGAGTCACTAAGAGAACCCATTTGCTTTAGTCTTTGGGAATCTCATGCAAGATGGGTATAATTAATCCTTAGATTTGAAGTCATCACGGTTATCTCATCGGAGGATTTATGCACTTTGATACTCGTTTCGATGAACCTAGTAAAGGGCTACACGTGGATGATTTGTTTAATATACTAAAAATCCAACGAGAGGTAGGTGGATGACTAAGATAGGAAATATTATTCTTTGTATACTAAAAAACTTATCACATTGCACTTCAATAAATGTCTACTCAAGACATCTATGACCATAGTAGAGTACATCAATATAGAATAGTTGGTTTACTCCGGGAGCTAATATATTTAGAAATTGAAAAAACTTGTATGATTATGATCGAATAAGACTAATAACCAAGTTCCAGATTACACTATGATAAGTTGACATGAGGATTGAATTGTATAGTAATCATGCTCGTAAAAGATAATTACGGATTAATTAATCTTCCTAGAGAATTTAGTAGTCATGATGTCTTGTTAGAAGTCGGTCTTGACTCATGTATTAAGAGATAAAAGAACTGTCTTTTACTCTTAATACATTACCAACATTTATAACCTATTAAGTCACACATATAAGTTTAAGCATTCACATGATTAAAGAGAAGCAAAGATGTTGGAAAAAATTTTCAAATTTTAAAAGTTCCCTATTTTGGAAAAGGTTTCCAAAAATGAAAAGTTCTCTAAAATGAAATTTTCCTAAAATGAAAAGTTTTTTATTTTAGAAATTAGTTTTCTAATTTGGAAGTTAGTTCCAAATTTAGAAGTAAATAACCTAAAATGAAAATTAGTTTCCTAATTTAGGTTTAAGGGTATTTTAAAAAATTATTTTCTAATGTGGGTCTCCTAAAATTATCTAACTTAATTTATTTGGATAGTCCAAATTAATTAATTAGACCAAAATAGTTTTGGACCAATAGGTTTAATTAAAAGCTTGAAAGGTATTTTGGTTGGAGGATAAACATGAACCTTCATGAACCTTATTGGTAAGGATGAATTTTTTAAAGATAAAGATAAAAATCCCACATACAAAATAATTCCTAATTCTTGAAGGATTAGGAAGCAACAAGCAAGAGTCCTTTAGGACTAGTTGCCACCTCTTCTTGTCCTTGGAGGACAAGGAAGCCTCTCCCCTATGTATATGGGAAAGAGGTGTGGCAAACATATAAGGGTTTTTAAGGAGAGAGAAAACAACAAGGTAAGAAAATAAAGCTAGGGCATATGGCATTGAGAAAAAAAGAAAGAAAATAGTTTTCTCCTAAAAACCCTAGCACATGCCACTTTCCTCTCTTCCTTGGGTTGTTACAAGGTTTTCCTGATTTTATTTCTAAAAGAAAAACAATAAACAAAGTAAAAAAAGATGGACCTAGCACTTTATCAATTTTGAGGGCTTCTTTTGTGGGTGCTTGGACTATGTGGATTATCGATAGAGGTCGAACACTTGGATGACTCTTTTTTACAAAGGTTTAAATCTATACTACAAGAGGTAATTCTTTATTTAAAGCTTTAATTCATGAATATATGATTAGTTAATTTAACAACATTATCTTAAGCCCTTTAGATGGAAGAAATTTTTATTTTATTCTACACCTCTATAGGATGTATGATCCTTCACTAGCATCTATAAAATCTTTCTTAAGGAATACAACATGTCTAGCTACGAACACTTTTTATTCTTATGATTGGTAAAAGTAATATCCATTTGTTTTTTTTGGATATCCTATAAATTTATACTTCAAAGTTTTGGCTCAAACTTGTCTCCATCTAAATATTTGATACACGCTTCACAACCTCAAATCTTAAGGAAAGATAGATTTGTCTTTTTTCTTTTTTTTCATATCTCATATGATATCTAGTCAATAGATTTTGTTGGAACATTGTTAAAAAAAAGATTACAATAAGGAATGCAGATCCGAAAAATAAAATAGGGATATCAATAAGACTTATCATGGATCGGATCATATCTAACAACATCCTATTCCTTATTTTACACATATAATTCATTTATGGTATTCCAAGTGGAGTCTATTGAGAGAGAATCCTATTCTTTTTCGAGTGATCTAGAAATTTATCACTTAAATATTCACCATCTTGATTTGATCCAAGTGCCTTAATATTTTTTTGGCTTGTTTCTCAACTTCAAATCTAAATTTTTAAAATTTTTTAAAAGCTTTAGATTTGTATCTCATTAGATACACATAACCAAATTTTGATCTATTATCGGTAAAGGTTATGAAGTAATCATGTCCTCCTCTTATTTGAGTGGACATAAGTCCATATACATTAGTATGTATAAAGCCTAACAAGTTGGTAGCCCTTTCTCCTTTTTCGATAAAAAGAGATTTTGTCATCCTTCCAAACAAACAAGATTTGTAGACATCATAAGATTCATAATCAAATGAGTCTAGATATTCAAATTTGAAAATTTTGGATATGCGACTCTCGTTTATGTGGCCAAATTGATAATATCACATATACATTTTATTTAGATAATTTGATTTGAGTCTTTTGGTATTTATGTTATATATAGGAGTGTTTGTTTTTAAAACATATAAATTATCATTAATAACAATAACATATAATACTTCCTCTTGATCGAAAGAAAAACTATTATTCTTAAATAAAAATGAAAATCCATTTGGGTATAAACAAGAGATGGAAATAATGTTCCTAGTAATATTAAGAATGTAACAACAATTCTTGAGTTTAAGTACAAGCCTAGAGGGTAGTGTCAACTCATAAGTACCTACGACCAATGGTATAACTTTTGATCCATTGCCTACACGTAGGTTAATCTCTCCCGAAGTAATCCTCCTTGATTCTTTAAGCCCTTGCACATTTGTATGAATGTGAACACCATATTC